TTACATGATGAAAAAACTTTATTCTATAATGTACCATGTATGGCCATTTTAAGAGAATTTTTCTTCATTTCAAGGAAGCATATATTTATAATAAAATAAAATAAAATGATGCCCATAGTAGTTAGACACTCAACTATCCTAATAATTATATATATATATATATACGCACACACAATAATATCATATATTTCACTAATTAAAAATGATTTAAATTTGTAACCTTTTATATATATTTAAATAATATGATTGTTGTAAGTGTAAATAGAATTTAACGATGTTAATAAATTATATATATATATATCCATAGTACATCTATATATATGTGCATATGTATCTACGTGCACCCATAAAAAAAAAAAAAACATTGCACATGAAAGATTACTATACACTTAACATGATATTCATGAGAAAGAGAAAGAAAGAGGAGATGAGTGGAGTTGTAAATTCCCACTTTAATTTTATAAGTCACCTTAAAAAGACAACCTTTTAAAAGAAAGAAGGGAAAAATCCCCCCATCTTTTTAGAGATCATGCAAAAGTTTTATTCCTCTCTCCCCACATAACACCATCAACAAGGAACCAAAGCCATTAGTGATTCCCTTTTTTTTCTCTCTTTTTTTTTTTTTTTCTCTCTTCATCTCATTCCTCCTTTTGAGAGCACATACACCCACACCCACACACACACACACACACACACAACTTGTTATATATACACACACACATATATATATATATATGTGTGTGTACAGAGGTGTTAGGGTTTGCAATGAGTGAAGATCCATTACCACCAAAAAAGAATCCCCTCTCTCTTTCTCTCTCTAAAACACAAGAAAGAAAGAAAATTGGGGATAGGATTCTCTTCAATTATTCTAAAATTTGGGACACTTTTTATGGGGGGAAGTCAACCCACAAAGCTGATCAAAACCCTTTTGTTTTTGTTTTTATACATACACACACACACACACATATATATATATATAATATGAGCTTATGGAGGTGTTTGCCACCCACTACTTAGGTAGTAGTGATTAACCTTAGTGCCACTACAACAATAAAATACTATTAACTCATCATGACTACTACTCATTCCTCTTCTTTACTATTTTTTTTTTCTCTCTCTAATCAATGTAACCCAAAATATACTCATACTTAACTTTTTTTTAAAATAAAAAGGTAATTTAAAATTTTGAGATTTTAATTATTTTAAATAAACAAAATTAATCACTAATATTTTGTAATATCCAGTCCTAAAATTTTATTTAAAATTTTAAAATAAATAATTTTTTTATAAATTAATTTTATTCAATTTTATTAAATTATTAAAAAATAGGTAGTGATATAATTGAAAGTAATTTTGAGAAAAAAATATAAAAATTTAGGTTCGGTGAATGTTTTTGAAAAAAAAAATTAGAAACAGGAAGTCAAAGTACAAATAGAAAAAGTTCGATCATGTAGAACTGCCAAGTCAGCAGCCCCGACGAATCGGAGCATGCTGCGTGGCAAGGCATACTGACATCGGTGCCACGCAAGCGATTCGCATGCCCCGCGATCAGACGACCTAAGATCGATCCTGTGCGCGTGGACAGTCCAGATTCGTTTTTCTTTTAGACACGATCAAACTGCTGAGATCAATCGTGATGGACTGTCTAGATTCGTTTCCTCATCAAGTGCAATCGAACAGACGAGATCAATCACGATGAACGGTCCAGATCAATGCGGAATAGGTATAAATACTTTCGCGTCGCATGGGTGCCCAAACCCTAACCACCAGCCTCGACGGAGAAGAAGAACCAGACACTGAAGAAGGAGGCCGACTGCCAACCGTCGCTGCAACGGAGCCACCGTTGGCCGCCAAAAAAGGTAAAAATTCTCCTTACCCATTCGGAATTCGATTCCGAGCATCCCAATGACTAAATCGAAGAAAGAGGGACAGTGGGTGAGCCGAAAATTACAGACAAAGTCCGACGGAGCCACCACGGTCAAAATCTAAAAATCTCTCCGATGAGCCCCTTCCCGTTTCCTATTTCATGTGATTTTTTTATCATTGTGCTCACTGTTCTTTTATGTACAGGTTAGCCGAAGAAAGAACTCCAACTGCGAAGAAGAATCAGCAGAGCCGTCGCACCCGGTGATCTCTTGCTGGTAGGTTCTGTGTTTTTGGTATTTTTCAGCCAACCAAAGCCCCTAACGTGTTTTTCTGTAGGGGTACGTGTAAAACCAGCCAAAACTGGCCAAACCGAAGCGAACCACCATCGTGGATGGCAAAGCCAGCACTGAAGTACGACGGTGCCGGAATCCCAAAATCGACCGTAAAGAGTTTTGGGGTATTTTTAGGTACGTGACAAATGTTTTGGATTTCACATGAAAAATTCAGGAAATCTAATATTCGTTAGGAGGTGTAACAGGCAGTGCAACGTCTCGAAACACCGATTTATGTAAAGATTCCTCACCCTATTCCTCGTTACAGTAAATTGAGACTTAATGTTGCATAATTTCGTGTTTTTATGAAAAATTATAGAACTCTAAAAATAATTACAAGTCACTATTGGAACCGGAACTGTTAGTTCATAATTGTCCCGATTTCTTATTTATTTTCTTATACTGCTCTATTTGTTTGTTATTATATAGTGCATGTTCTAAATTTATATTTTATATAGCCTTATCAATTTATTTGGTTTATTCGACTATATACTATCAGTATGAAAGTAGTTTAATTGATCTATAAATATAATATGAGATAGTGATTTGCGTGGTTGGTTGTTTTATTGATAGGAATCTATAAGTGAAAGACTTACTGGGTACCCAGGGAAAGAGCGGACGGGCTCAGTATATAGAAAACCCTATTGTAAACGTTATCTCAGTCGAACGGGGTTGAGAAGTTCCTTAACAGAAAGATTTGAGAGACATAGTTCACCCTCATACCGGACGGGGTATCGAGACGATTGAATGTTTGGCACCCATTACTGGACAGGGTATAGGGACGACCGGTTAATTGTTTAAATTGGATATTTGATTCATGAATAGGGAGACATCCCTATGGACCTTCAGGGATACTAGTAAGCAGGTAAGAATGAAAAATTATCGTCTCTTGTTATCTTTTGCGTGAAAGTAAAAAGTAGTGTGAATATGGATATTCATAAGTTATTTTTGAAAAAACTTGTTACGTAAGTACGGAATAAACGACTTTCTTTGTATTAAATAAATTTATATCAAATTAAGGGCTCTATTAGTTATTTTTTTTTTATTTTTACCAATATTCAATTTTTCGTATATGTGATTAATGTGATATTTTTACTAGGGTAGTGTAGAATACCATTTCATTAATTATTTCAAATCAAGAAAATCAAGATTTAGATCCCAATCAACAAGAGAGTTGTAAGTAATTTACTACCCGAACTCCCTTCAAGTACTAGTGAATGTTATTCTATGATATTTATTTATTCGATTTTCTTTAATTACCGTTTGACTTTTAAAAATAACATTCTCATAACCATATTTGTCATTATAAACTATTGTGTACGGAATGTAAACTCTAACTCTATTATTCGCTTCCGTATTTTAATTATAAATTCATTTTTTTTAAAGTTCCGGATCTTCACATATTTATTCCGTCTAAAATATAATATATTCACAATTTGATTACTGTACCTCTAATAACATATTAGCGAATAAAGATCATGGCAATTTTAATAAGTATATATTGATTTTTGACAAAGTTTAATGCATGGTTAATTGTTTTTAAATTAAGTAATATTAATAAAGAATAAATTATTATTTTTTTCTCAAATTATAAAGTGATATTCCAAGGAAACCAAAACCAAGAGAATTTCTAATTAAATTAAATTTTAAAACAAGAAAAATTAATAATTAAGAAGGTGGTGTTAATTAATAATTAGTCACCGAATCTCAATTGGGTTAATAAGAAAATGTTAATATTCTTGACTGTTAGTGGAGTAAGATCAAGATAATCATATAAATAATATATATTATAAATAAATCAAAAATTAACCCACAAAAAGGAATATATTTAATATTTTTTTTTACAATTTATTTTTAAAAATTAATTTAATTATTAAATTAATTAATTAATTAATTAATTAATTAACCATGGGTGAATATATACCATTTAAAGAATAATTTAAGTGATGAATAAGATCTTACAAGTTCAAAAATTTTAATTCAAACTGTGAAATCCTTAAAATTGTTAATACCCACCAACAAAGTTCATCATATACATATAATGTGATAAAAAGAATATCAATTCAAGGAGATAAATTGTTCTATAGACAAAATGTATATAGAGATACATACATATATATATATATATAATATTATTCTTTAGCTAGTATTTGGGAGTGGGTTGGGCTAAAGAAGTAGGGAGTATGTACAAGTAAAGATGTGGCTTTCAAATAAAAAGGCCAAGCCCAACTAATTATAATATTTGTATATATTTCATACAATCTAATTCGATCCATCACAAAATTTTATACAATCTTTTTTTTTTAAATATAAAGAGAGATAAAATTTAAAAAAAAATAATAATTAAGAAATCGTCATGCACGTTCTGAATAAAAAGATGTAATAAACATGTATAGATTTCTATTTCTATATATATAACTTTATGGGTGTTCAAGAATAACCACTAAATTAATGTAATTTTATTTAAAAAATTTATAATATTTTATTAATTAAAATATAATTTAGTTATTCCAAATAAGTCTTAAAAATTACTCTTAAACACAAAACACATTTTTAGTTTTTAAATATTAATTAGTGATTAAATGAAATTAATGACTTTAAAAATTTAAATTTTTTTTTTTTACTGCTTGCTGAAATTGAAAATGTTCTGCTTATCATAAAAATATTTTTTAAAATAAAATAATATTTTTATTTTTATTTTTATTTATTTTGTTTTAGTTTTTGTTTTTATCTCCTCCTTAAAGAGGAGTGAGTACGCAGTGCTCGAATTCTCTGGACTTTTCGTCTTCTCTGTCGCTCCGTCTTCAGAACAGGTTCGAGGGGGGTCTCTGTAAAAGCTAGAAATTTAGAGTGCCCTTTCTCTAAAGGATCGTTTTCCGTTGTCCTATTGCTCTTTTCTTTCACTGGTAAAACTACTAATCCATCCGTCTTTCTCGTTATATATATATATATATATATATATATATGTATATATCCAGTCCTCTTAATTTTGCATTTTATACTCTGTTGGAGTTATCGGTTTCTCTTGTTAAGCTGAGTTAAGGATTTATCTAATGTTTCTTCCATTTGAATTGTTGTTTGTTTACTGTGAATAGTGAGAAAATAGGTCAAGGTTTATCTAGATAGGATGCCATTTGTGAATATTGGTATTTGGGAGCCCTAGAGCCTCGAAAAACTTCGTAGTATAATCTAAACATGGAAATAAGCGGGAGTAGGTTTCTTTATATGCAAAAAAGAGAAAAGGACTGAAAGTTTCCAGTTGATTTTGCCTACTTTCGCATCATTCAGAAATCATCAGGTCATATGGAGTTCAATTTTTTCCCCTTTTCAAATTCTTTAAATACGTTTGTTTTTCTTTAAAACAATAAGAAGTCAGGGATGTAGCTTAAACATTTTAAGAACTTCAATCTTCCCTTAGTTTCGTGTCTAAGGCAGTTACGGTCAGAAATTTTCAGGAGCATGTAAGTTTTGACCAACAATGAACTTCAATCTTCCCTTTTCCAATTCTTTAAATACGTTTGTTTTTCTTTAAAAAACTAAAAAGTCAGGGATGTAGCTTAAACCTTTTAAGAACTTCAATCTTCCCTTAGTTTCATGTCTAAGGCAGTTACGGCCAGAAATTTTCAGGAGCATGTAGGTTTTGACCAACAATGAAGAAGCCAAATAGCTCAAACACAACTTAGATTCAATAGGATATGTGTGAATATGAAATTCCTGAAGATGGTTTCTTATGAAAATCCTGTTGCGGATATACCTAGTACTTATTTTAGTCATTACAACTTCTGCATTTGTTTCTGTCAAAGTATTTAATTGCTATCCCCTGATCTAGAATTTTTCATCCGTAAGATTTGAAGGCATGTTAAAGAAGTCTGACACTTTTCTTTGCTTGGATGTATGTCTGCTGGTCAGACTGTAAACAGAGTCTAGGAGCTTGCTGCAGAAAGAATGGCCAAACATCATCCCGATTTGATCATGTGCCGGAAGCAGCCAGGCATTGCCATAGGACGACTTTGTGAGAAATGCGATGGAAAGTGTGTCATCTGTGATTCCTATGTGCGTCCTTGCACACTTGTGAGGGTTTGTGATGAATGCAACTATGGATCATTCCAGGGCCGGTGTGTTATCTGTGGAGGAGTGGGAATTTCTGATGCCTACTACTGCAAAGAGTGTACGCAGCAAGAGAAAGACAGGGATGGTTGTCCTAAAATTGTTAATCTAGGAAGTGCAAAGACTGATCTATTTTACGAGCGTAAGAAATATGGTTTCAAGAAAAGATGAGGATTTTGTACGAAGAATCAACTAGTATTCTAAATCCTGTAGTGATGTTCCAAATATAGAGATCTCCAATTCAAATGCAGGAGACTTCTCGTAGACATCTCTATTCATGGTAATTGTTATGAACTTTGAATGATCAGAGTGTGATGGTGACTACTGATAGTCTAGCGGATTTAGTTATACTCGAGTTACCTCTGCAGTTTTCCAAATGAACCATGCTTGGTGCATTAGATGTCACAATTAAAATCTTTGGTGGTTGGACTTATTGTTTCCATTATTTTGCTTTGCCATTTGGATTATCATTTTTGTGAAATGCTGATTGTGGTGTTCATGTTTGTTTTCTTTATTATTAATCATGCTTCTTTGCACAAGTTTACATATAGTTTGCTTGTCTTTAGGGTTGAAGTCCAAAGGTTAGACCAGATTAGAGCTTATGGTTAGTGTTTCTTTTTCCTTGTCTTATTTGCTATTCTTTCTGGTGAATAGGAAGAGATCACTTCCTGCTACCAACCGTTGCCTACAATCATTATCACCTTGTGGCCAGGAAGAGGTTCCCTGCATAATCTAGCACACCGTGGTCTTGACATTGCCGGATAAAGTGCATGTTACAATCCATTACAGATTTTTGTTTTTATCGGCTTCCTATCTGCTACATAGAAGCTCAATGTCCGTCAAATTGTAAAGAGTAAAATTGTAGAGAATTTCCATCTTCTATGATACAGAGTAGATATAGTTGAAAGGCCATTAGTTTTGCTTGTTTATTTTCAGATGACTCGTCCGCAGCATATAATCTTGCTCTAGAGGCTGCACGACAACTACACTCACCAATTATTGCACCAAAAGCTTTACATGTCGATTCTTTTGGTGAGAAGAAGTCATAGTTAGATTGATGGATACCCTTGACTTTTGATACACAAAGATGTCCACTTCCATGGAGTATAATGCTAATGTTGCTTGTTATTGTTAAGGAACATTGAAGAGAGCTACTGCTCATGACTTTCATAGTTTAAGCCATGAAAAACCCTGTCATTTCACCATTAGGATTCTCCTCCCTCTTTTCATATCCATCTCTATATGAATTTAGGCAAAAAAAAATTATATTTGTAGAGTGTGGTTTTGAAAATTGTTCGATTAGCATTCTAGATAGTTCAAATCTTAAGCCAGTACGAACGTAAGTAGCTTGAAGCGAACAAAACAGAATATGATAGAATTCACGAATCCATAGAATAATATGAGTTTTATGTTCGTTTACCAAAATATAAAACACTAACACATCATTGAAGATGAAAACTTTTCATTTTAAGGCAATAAAACCTCATTTCACATTTCTCAGACTCTTTAAATATGGTTCAGACTCAAATGTCAGACCTATTCTACTCTAATGAAATACAAACACACAGTAATAAAGTTCAGATCAAACAGCTAACATCCCTCCCGCCAACAAATTCTCCTCTTGGAAGAGATGGGTGCTTGTGGGAACGTGTACTCAGGTGGTGCATGGCTGTATTATCACAGATTACCTTTCTTTATCAAGGTGAACCATCAGCTTCTATGATGCATGAAGAAACTCCAACCGGCGAGGGAAGCTCTAATTGAATTATTCAAAGCTAAATGATCCAGGGTGGCTGGCGGCAAGAATTTGGCAAGTAAAGAAAGTAGATTCAGGAATTTAGCTTCGAGGAATAATCAAATAACTGAACTTGCAGAGAAGTTGCGGCTCTAGCACAAATTAAGAGATTAGAAGAAGAGCAGGAACATATGGGAGATTGAACTAAACTTTGGTGCTGAAATTATGGCAGGGCTATAAATCCATGAAAGCGCGCATCTTTTTTAGGGTTTAAGGCGGAGCAGGGTCTTAGGCAAGGAGCAAAGTAAGAAAAATCGACACTTTCGCGCTTGTCAGGTTTGAAGGTTAAGTTTTTAGGCATCCAGCCTCCGGATGGCGACCCAGTGACCAGAGGCAGCTTGTGGTGGCGGCATTGTGTTTCCTTTTGTTTTGGCAACATGAAAAAGAAAATGTTTAGTTTTATACTTCTACTATCAATACCAATATACATTACATAGGAGACTAAACTAGAAAGCTTTTGAAACTACAGAAATTAAAGTTGTGAAAAGAAAATGAAAGAACTGATCTAAATATCTTAAAATAATAAGGAGATCAATTTAGTATTTTGTCCCATAATATAATACACATCATTGACAGATATACATATATATATGTATTCATTCTATTTCTTTTCTTCAATTATTCTCATACAGCAAAACACATTCTTAGTTTCTGATTATCCTCATTGCAAATCTACATACATCTCAACATTTGCAGAGGAACAAATTAAGTAAGATTCTATTGATCAAACAAAATGATTTGAATCTATTCACTCACAAATTTCATTTACAGCCAAACAGTAAAAAAAAAACAAGAATATTTTTCAACCACACTGGGTAAAAATACATTATCACTTCAAATTTACATTCAGCTTTTTCTTCCCTTTTTTCTTCTTTTGCTATCTAGTAAATCTTCAAGTAAATTTCCTGCTGTATAATAGTTTCTCAAAATCCTGTATGTATCATATATGTATAATTCTCACAAACACAACACAGCCATTCTACCTCAAACCATTGTCCACTGCATCTCCACATGTATCATCCCGTTTTTTGAGTTGATAAGATTGTATTTCTGGTTGATCCGTCCATTGCGCACAACATCATTGAGGTTTATTTCCACATGTCCCAATGATTCCTATATAAACGAAAGCAATTTGAAGAGTTGCTTACAAAGATACGAACAGAAGACAAGAAAAACACTAAGGATAATACCTTTGATCGAAAAATAAAGGCTCTCCGCTTGCTAATAACTTGAAAACATATCTTCTCGTTCAAAGGAGGTTTCTCAAGTGTGAACTGGAATTCTTCGTTCCAACGTGGGTCACGAGTTTTCCTGATCATCTGATTAATCCAAATTGAACATGAACCACCAGACAAGCAAAAGCATTTACAACCACAATGGCCTTATTTGATATGCTACAAGCCTACATGTGCATGACATAGACTACTTTCGGAGATCTTTTTCTGAGCACAATTTGAATCAAAGATACAACACTCTTATGTACATAAACATGTACCATACGTTCATACAATGGAAAGATAACAGAATAATTAGTTATTCAAGTAGGAATTTTACCTTTGTTTTCTTCTTTTCTCCTCTAAAAAGGACTAGAGCATAGGGATTGTTATGACTTTCCCCCTCCACATCCTCAGCTCCTACGACCATCACGGACAACAGACCTGCTCCACTTAAAACCTCCTCGTCAGATGATCTGTCAATTCCACTTTCCCTCCTCCCATATCCATCCATAAGTTCAATAGCTTTAATGCTGTCTTCTTTGAAGGGGACATATGCGAGCTCAACCATAAGCTGCCCTCGTTGCTTCTTTTCTTGAGAATCACTCATACTTGAATTCTTGAGCAAATCAAGAGTAAACTCTTTGTCTCGCCAGCTGTAAGCTTTTTCAGGGGAACTAACTGCATTCCCAAAGGGTCGTGTTGACCAACTGAAAATATGACAAACAACAATACAAATACAACTTCAAATCTATCTTTCTTCTGGTCCAAAAACTTAAAAAGTGGATAAGAGTGAAACCTTGTCCCAGTCATAGACTTGTAATTGAAGGACTTGCGATTGGGGATCCTTCACAATAAGCTTGAAATTTTCATTCCATTCAGGATTCAGGTTCCTCTTTTTGATGGTGGTTTTCTTCGCTGGCAGCCTCTCTCCAGTCAGGCTGAGTTTGACATAAGGATCAGAAGTTCCCAGGAAATCCTTCTTTAACAGTTTAAGCGCACGAACAACCTTTACATGCAGTAATCCCACAGGCTTCTTTATGGCCACTCTAAAGAAATAATAAGAAGAGCGGTCAGCTCAAGTTAGCAGGTTCTAAAAATTTGATAAATAGAACAGTCTAGTATAGCTTACGCTGAAGAGTCAAGGATGGGTATTTCAAGAGTTTGAGGCCACAGGTAGAGGTTTGCGACTTGCTTTTTTATCGTTTTCTGTACAGACATGAGCAATATGGACATGTTGGCATGTGAAATTGGTTAACACAATATCCAACTGTCATCCAAATTCAAACATCTACATAAAACCCAGCTCCTACCCATAATAAGAGGATCATCAGTTCAGCACCTGAACAAATTGATAAAGACCAGGTATGGACATGAGGTCTCCTCCAAGTACTTTTGTTCCAAAGTCAACATGTGGCTGAATAAAAATAATTAGCAGAAATGATCAGGACAAAGGTAATCAATTTCATCGACTTAAATACAAAATGCAAGCAACAATTATACCATTTAGTCCATAGGGAACTTTGTTTACCTTCTCCATCAATGATACTATGATGCTTGCAAAACAAGGAAATGTAGGTACAAGAGGTTTTAATGCGATCCTTGGTGCAGCAAATATTTGCAAATCCACTAGCTGGGAAGAAACACAATCAGTCTTCCCAAAGAAACACAAAAAACTAAAATTTCTTGTGTCTCAAATTTGATCCTTTTTCTTTTTCTGACCTGAATTGTAATCCGTAAAGACAATAACTTTAACACCAAAACTATGTTGGGATTGCCTGCCCACCTAATTGCTGGTTCCATCACTAGCTCCTTTTCATTGGTCTCATAGATTTTCATACCTTCAAAATACATTGTTTAATTAGCAAAATTGGAACTTCGATGAAACAATAAGGACAGTGAGATTGATATTACTGGCTTTGAGAAATGGATCCAGACATAATGAGTGGCAAAACAAAAAGGCTAAATGTAGCTTTTTTTATCCAGGTTTATAATCCTTTGAGCACTTACCTTGAATTACCGGAGGAAGAGTTCCAAGACTAACAACATCGAAATCAATAGATTCTATCTGAAACTTCCCGATGTACTCTGCGAATATAGGTTGTGCCATGTTTCGGATTGTGCAACTAATTGCCTATAAATTAGAAAGAAAAAACTCAAGCTTCATTAATCATCATGGAGACTAAAATATTAAAATCAATGAGATTACCTTATCAATATAAGGCCACATATCAGACAGAAATCTGTTCAACCAATCCACCTGTGCAAAAATGCAAAGGCACAATCAACAAAGTGACCTTAGATTATATAAAGAAATATAAGGTCTGAAGAACTAATCGATAAATTTGAAATCGCAGTGAACGTAACTATCTGCAGTCCTTACCCGTTCATAATCTGGGTTCTTCACCCATAGTGGAATGTCAGGTAGAAGATCAAGCAAAGCATCGGCATCAAACTCATCAAGTGACTTATGAGCTGGATCCTGCGTTATGTAGAGAAACAAAAGGTGAAACAAGCACTTTTTTTTTTCAAGAAATTTAGTTTCAAGAGCATGGATTTCATATTTCTAGACACCATCGAATTATCATTCGAAGGCCTGCATCTATGTAGACTGTACAGCACTTCACTATCTATTCTGTATTTATGTAGAACACAAATAAAACAATTTCTCGCCAAGAGCAGCTTTTAATGGATCAAATAAGATTTAGAATCAAGGTTAACTAACCATTTAAGAAGATGACTCTGATTTCTATATTTACACCATTATATGAGAAGGTTTTCCATGAATGATCAAGCTCCATGTTCCACAATTCTTTATCATAGATGTAGACAGAGACAATAGAATCATAGATTTGGATAAGCATTATTGACCACAATTATTGACCATTAGAAAAGCAATAAAACACCATTTTATATTTCTCAGACTGCTTAAATATGGCTCAGCAACACGCTAAAAATCAAATGTCAGACCTTCAACTCTAATGAAATAGTACCCGATGCAACATGCATGGAGCAATAAATTGCAGATCAAACAATTAATTGTTCCCCCAAAAATTTACGAGACCCAGTTCTCCAAATCTCAAATCACCAAACAAGCAACCACCACGTGATTTACTGATTAAACGTTGAAACCAAAAAAGAAGAAAACTTGTAAATGAGCAATTTTTCTTCTTTTTCAAACATACCCATGTCGTAAAACACATCACTGATCAAAATCTATAAAAGAAAACATCAAAAGCCAACAGAATAAGAACAGATGATGAGTATTTACTGTTACCTTCACGTGGTTGGGCTTGGAGTAAACAAATAGCAAGAAACCAAGAAAGAGTCCAATGGGGATTCCGATAGCAAAACCTACGATACCCAGAAAACTGCCCAAGAATCCCATCTCTGAATTCAGCTCCAAGAATAAGAAAAAGAAAATAAATGGCAATCTGAAACAGTGAAATGGAAAAGAAAATGTATTGAAGAGAAAATCATGTATTAAAGAAGAAGATTTTGATGAAAAGGTCTAGGAAGGAGACTAGTTAGAAACGTAACGAATGTGATTTAAGAAACCGCCAAAACAAGAAGACACGTTGGTTTCCTATTTTGCTTCAAAAAAACAGTGCGCACTGTGCTCCTCTCACAAACCGAGGTACGCAGTTATATCACAGCCTTTACTGCTCTTTTCGAAATGTCTAAAATACCCCTGCCTTTATACTTTTTCTATAAAAGGTATTAAATATATGTTTGTTTACCAAATCCCACTTCCAAATAAATAAATAAAGTCAAAGTTTTAGTTAATTTCATTACTAAATTAAATTTATAATACCATTATTAGTAATAAATAAATATATTTGTTAAAAAATTAATAATAAAAAATAAAATTAACAATATAGTCATACTATCAAAAGTTTATATAACATATAATTTTAAAATTTATAATTATTTAGATATTTAAATAGATAAGAATAGCACAATCACACATTTGTAGCTAATTAAAAATTAAAAAAATTATATAAATAAAAAATTGACCCATAATGTATTTTAATTTGATTTTTATATGTATAATATTTTTTTATAAAAAAAAATTATGTTATATTAGTTAATATATTGTAATTATTTTAAAAAAAATTTATATACTATAGAGTAATTATTTTACTAATAAATATAATATATTTTTTAAAATTTAACTCGTATTGATTATAATAATTTTATAAATATATTATTAAAATAAATTTTTAATTTTATTAAATTAAATATTGTGTACCGAACTCATAATACGTTCATAAAATTACAAACATAATGTATTCGGTATGATTGTTATAAGTTCTATATAGTAACTTATTTTTACTTTTAATATTCCTCATCATTACATGAAAAAGGCTATTGATGTAGTATATGGGAATCATAATGGGAAGAACCAAAACATCGTTTAAAATGTTTACATGTGCAAGCATCTATTGTTTATAATCATGTGAGATCACAATCCATTTTATATCATAATTAACATATATACATACATATATGTATATATATGTATATGTAGCTTATTAAACAAGAAAACCAAAAAATAATGTTAAATTGTAATAAAAATTTGATGATTTTTTTTTTAAAAAATTTCTTTTAAATCAATTGTTTTATAATTTTTACTGAAATTATTTCAAAAAAATTATACTATTTAGTAATCATACATTATAATATGTTAAAAATCAAAATATTCATAAAATTTTTATAAGATTACTAATTCGAGACAAAATAGTTAAAACTTTGTGTTATAATTAAAAGTTACGAATTAGAATTTAATTGGAAACATAACATTTGTAATTTTATATGTATGAAATGACAATAACTGATGTATAATATTTGATTCAATAGTTAATTTACTGATATATCGTAAGAATTACTGTAACAGCCCCGGAAAATATTAAAATGAAATGAGTATTTAAACATATCGAATGCGGAAGCGAGATCAAAATTTCATTTAACATCCCTTACACGAAAAATAAAAAAAAAACGTAACTAAAATATAAAAGGTTAAACTAACTAAGAAATAAAACTCGAAAATAAACTATGCGTATGACTACAGAGTCTCTAGGCATCCCCTTCGTCGCCCTCCTGCGGAACGGGCTCGGGAACCATGTCTTCCTGATCTGAAATGGTTAATTAAGGAGTGAGCTACACTAGCCCAGTAAGAACATCACGATATCTCACCGTCACGGAGGTAAATGTGGGTAGAAAAACACAAAAAGACCAATGGAGCATAATTTACAATAAACTCGTTTATTAACATGAAAACCTTTACCATCCACTTACCTCGGTGGAATTTATGAAAACAATATAAGAAAAATAATAACATTATCACAATCATGGAATAATATAAGCTGTAAAACATAGCACTTATCACGCCTTTTGTAATTCAATCATTATACAACATATCCTTTTCTCATTTACCAGCCTACTAGTATCCATGGGGGTCCCTAGGGGTCCCGCTACCCGTTAACCTTTAACATTCATAATCAGTTTCCAGGGCCGTCCCCATACCCCGTCCGGTATGGGCGCCAAAACCATGAACCTCAATACCCCGTCCGGTATGAGGGTGAAACGGGCCGTCCCCATACCCCGTCCGGTATGGGCGCCAAAACCATAAGATCTCCATACCCCGTCCGGCATGTGAGACCACAATCCCGGTAGGGTTCCCTACGGACCCGGTCCGTCCACCATCTCCCAGGATATCTAGTCAGGCTGACCCCCATAATACAATTATCAGTCTACACAATCTTTCATTTTCCTTTTCCTCAATCAGCATCATCAATTCACATTTAAACAAGCAAATCGTAATTCATACCAACAGACAACATACAATATCAGTTTTTCAGTCATTCAACCCATAATTAATAAAAACGTAGTACATGCACACAAATCTGTAAAATGAACACATCAAACCTCATTTTGCATTTAAAGCTGTAAACAGGCCAAATAACAGTAAATCATCAATCACACTAGACTCGGGCTCCATTAGCAACCTTAAGCAATTTCACACATGCGTTAATTCAAGAAATACCGTTTTATCATTTTGAACTTTAATACCGTGATAGGAAATAGGGTGAGGGGTCCTTACTTGTTTTCGAGATCCGAATACGATTCACAGTGCGCCTGCAGGCTGTCCCTAATTTTCCCTGAATTTTTTCCGGGAAACTGAAACACACTAACAGTACCTGCACGTGTTCCAAAAAAAATCCAAATTAGGCCCAGGGCCTCCTTCGGCCCAAATCGCAACTCCGGCACGGCGGCTCCGCCGTGCTCCGGCGACGGCGCCGCCGCTGGCGGCGGCGAGTCGCCTCGGGTTGGCTGTTTTCGGCCGTTTTCGGCCGAATTCGGCCACGCTCGCATTGGTCCTTGTCAGAAAACAACCCTAGGGCCCTCGGGGGGCCAAAAAATCACGGAGAAACGGAGCTTACCGGCGGCGGCGCTCTCGGGTGCAGCGGCTCTCCGGCGAGGTTCGTGTTTTGGTGATTCGGCTCCGGTCAACCTGTAGAGAAAAGAATGGTGATCACGGTGATATAAAAATTGCATCGAACGGAGGCCGGGAAGGGCCTCGTCGGAGGCAAAAACCGAGAGGGGGCGCGGCGGCGCCGCTGGGCTTCGGCCGCGTATTCCGGCCGTTTGGCCGGGATTTCGGCCTCGATTTGGCCACAGGAGGAATCAGCGGGGAAAAACGAGTCGGGGGTATGAAATTTACCTCAATCGGCGGTCGGAAATTTCCCCGGTGCGGCGGCGAGTGGCGGCGGGTGGCGGCGGTCGGCCTCTGGTTCGTCTTCTCTGGCGAGCGGCTGGCGGCTAGGGTTTTTGGTCTGGTGTGGAGGTTCTATTTATAACCCCTTGCCTTTTGATCACAGCCGTTCATTTCGTTTGAATCTGGGCCGTCCGATCGCGTGATTGATCTGGGCCGTCGGATCGCACCCACGCGGATCGCCAACGTGGCTCCTTTCGGAGTGATGCGATCTTGCCACGTGGCAGGCCCTGGTTGGCCGGTACTGCTGACGTGGCTGCTGACGCGGCTGCTGACGTGGCCCCCCCTTTTTTTTTTTTTTTTTTTCCTCCTCCTTTCCGGGTGCTACAATTACAATGATCCAACATTTTTAGAAAAAAAAAAAATTACATAATTTTATTTATTTATTTATTTTTCAAACAACTAATTACCTAAAGAAATTAAATTTTTGTCTTTCTTAATATTCTAATATAATTATTGAAGAACATTTTTGCTTTTGGGCAACAAGAAAAGAATATTAAGGCTTTGATTGTAATCTTTAGATGCCATTTATGACAATGAGAGAATAGTCGTTGGCCACCTAAAAATAATTATGTGTAGAACTTTTGCTTTCATATTTATTTCACATATATATATATATATATATTTATATATTATAGTTTGTGCATGTATGTAAGTATTACTATACATATAAAAATATTTAAACATAGTATTAAATAAATTAAAAATATTTATAAGAATATAAATAGAAGCTTAAAGTTATTAAAGGTACTTTGATAACATTATGGACATAATAAATTTGTCAGCTTTGGAAAAAGTAAAAATGATTCATATTTTAAGTAAAGTGTATTAAAATTAAAATAATTTATGGAATAATCTTTGCAGAAGATTCCTTGGCTTTTACAAAATTAAATTAATATTTTAAAATAAGGTTTGACTTCACACATTTTAAAATAAAATTTTTTAATTTATTTAAAATTTGATATTCAATATTTACTTCTAAATAAAAATAATAATTACCCATTTTCTTTGACTGGCTTAAAATTTAAATAATAATAATTATTATCATGTTGAATATTTTTGAATTAGATGCAGTCGTTATTAGTGATGTTTTCTCTATTTTTCAATGTTTTAATAATATTTCGATTTCGTAAAGTACAAAAAATAAAATCGTATCGCACACATATTTATAAAATAATTAGGTGATATGAACTTTAGTGTTATCAATCCACCAAATTTGTTGATTCTCCTACTACAACAAGATATTTGAATAAAATAAATTGTGTTTTATATTTAAAAAATATCCTTATAAATAAATTATTTTATTATAATAAATAAATGTGACATGCACGTGAAACATTAAAATATTGGGTTTTTAATATTATACATGTGTCCTAACCATGAACATTAAGTTATTGGTCAAAATTAATGAATTTGTGACCAAAATTTTTAATCATTCACGTTGTTTGTAATACTCGAACTCGAAATTTGATCTGAGATTAATTTTAAAATTAAAAAATAAATAAAAATATAAATTTTAAATTTATAACTTTTTATTTAATGTAAAATTAAGAAAAAAAATAGGTGGATGATAAAATTGAAAATAATTTTGAAAAAAAGTTGTGAATTTTTGGATTCAGGGGGTATTTTCGAAAGAAAAATCAGAATCTGGAAGTCAAAACGCAATTAAGAAAAAACATGTCACGTAGGACCGCCCAGTTAGCAGTCCCGACAAACTGGAGCGCGTCGCGTAACAAGGCGCGTTGACTAGTGCCACGCGGGAGGCCACACTAGCAATCCGC